GGCAGTTAACAAAACACAATATAGTGAAGGAGAAAAAAGCTATTCTTTGTATTTACAATCAATGTTTCCAAATTTCTGTTGAACTTTTAGTGGCACCAGTATATCTGAGTGTAAATAGCATGTGTAGGCATATAGAATAATTATGTTGTGATAGAGGTGGTCTTGTTAATGAGCTTGAACTGATTGTCATTACGCTTTTAACCTTTATTCAGTGACACAGGTCCAGTTTTATGCAGTTCAATGAGAACCATAAATATCTGTTTTCTTTAAATTAAAAAAAAGTTTTCATGTGATAGATGGAACTTCTTAATTATCATAGCTAATTGCATTCATTTCCTTCTCAGAAGAAGGTAGTTGCTAAATGCTATATTAATGCATATACAGTTAAAAAGGTAAATGCTTGTATTTACAAATCAGTCACTGTAGAGTCTTATCACTAATGTACAGATAAATCTCCGCACTGAACTGAAATACGTTTGATATGGCTAATAGAGAATGCAATGAACCTTTTATGAATGTGTGATAAAACAAATCATGCAAACTAAATAATAGTATCTCTAGAGACCAATTAGTTTCTTCAACAAATAGACTGGTTCCCAGGCTGATTGATGATAGTATCTTTATATCTTTCAGGTTACTGGGTATGGTGGGTTAAGGACATACTTTGCTTTTGTGCATGATAAAAGGCCTAAAGCAACGTCACCTGATTTCATGGGCTGCAAACCCCTCTGATATAGCTTGTGATCGTAAGAACCAAAAAATTAAAAATAAGTCTGAGAGGAGCTGTGGTGCTTCCTGAAAAGTGTTATTTCTTCAGTTTTTATGCCCATAAACAAGGGTCACTGGTCTAAAGCACTCGCCCAAGGGCCGCTGCCTTTCTGCTATTTCTGTGCCTTTGGGCCCCAATAATGTTATGTATAATTATACAGGTCACTGAATTCTTTAAAGGGAGCGGTGATTTTAATTCCAATAGTTTATATTTTACTGCAGCAAATTCAAAATAAAATGTATAATTTGCTTAGCAAATTGGATTACCAAGCTGTGTAGCTATTGATTGATTTGGAAATCTGCATGTTCCTTTCCTCTGGGTAGACAACTTGAGATAATAAGACAAAAAGTGTTATAGAAGAAAAAGCTGTATTAGCACTTGTTTGAGTAACTGAAAATAAATTAGCAGTATGTTTCTGTGCTTTTATATATAGCAAAATTAAACTGAAGAAACCCACTGAATTAAGCTTGATTTGTTTAGTTTCAAACTGAAGTTGTCCTAAACATACATGTTTTGTTGATACTAGAATTTAATATTAACCTAATACTTTATATTAAACTCAGTATAAATACATATTTTCCCCATATTATCTGGCAATATTTGCTCCACTTACTCACTGAGTCTGCAAATACTGTTAAATAGCAAAAAGCTGTGTGCTTGCCCTTAATAGAGACTTTAAAAAAAAAAAAAAAGCTGTTTAATAAAATTGCAAAATAAGTAAACTTTTTCTATTTTGCTTTCATGTTTATTTGAAAGAGAAGAGTCTGTAGTATCAACTACTGGGATCTGTTCTACAGAGCTATAGAAAGATATATGTGCTCTGGAAATGGAAGGATCTCTTTATACCTTAGAAAAAGCAGCCATACAAGCATGCGACTCTTTCTGCTCACAGTGAAGACTGCAGCCACACAAAACTCGAGATCACAGGGCCTTGGAATTGAACATCTTAGAACAAAGCAAGTTCTTCCTACTAAAAACAACTCAGAACATCAGCTGACCCATACCCATATTTTGGTGGTGTTTATCTCATCTTGCAAGTGCTATAAAATCTCTTCGCTGAGAAGATGTATGTGAAAAGCTGTTTAAAGCCTTCCATTGAGGAGCTTGTGTTTCTAATCTAGTAGATGAGAAGTCCTGAAACCCCTCAGACTCTTCACAGAGGGGAAAAAGAAAAAAAAAAAAAAAAAAAAAAGGTGGTTAACAGCAGTTGTCACATCTTTGGTAAAAACTGAGAAAAGATGGAAAACAATCTTTCCAGACTCTAGGAAAGAGATGTTGACTGTCATTTCTTTAGTTTTTTCTTCAGTGTCTCAGTGCAGCTGGCATAAGTTTACACCTAAGTGGGTACAGTTCAGGTAGTTTTGTTGTTCAGTCATGGAACAAACTTGTCTGGAGGTCATGAATCACAGTAGTTATTTCCTGAAGAACAGCTTAAAAATTTTGCAGGTTGTAGGTGATCTGTTTGTAGGAATGATTCTCCAATACATCCAGTACAAGTGGTGTTATTCTTGCAGTGGTACTAATGTAAGGACAAGGCATAGTCAGTCATACCGGCAACCACCTACACATGCTCTAGAAATACACTGATGAAATTCAACAGACTACTGACACATGGGTTTCTGTGTTGCTTATAGATTAGAGTGGATTTTATTTTATTGTTTTACTGACATTCCATTGGAAAAGATTATCCAAAAGTAGTTCTCCAAAACAGTCTCAGAATAGCAGCTTCTGCAAGTGACTGCCCATAAAAAAAATAGCAGATCATACCTGGAGAGAACACAATATTGTATTAGCTAGAGAGAAAAACAGTTACTATCATTGTGCCAAACTTCCAAGTTCATTCTCTGCTGAAAACAATGTGGAGAAATAGATATCAATCTTTGGCCACAAATCCTGATATTTTCAGGAATGTAGAAAATACAGAATATTTTCATTCTGCCAATTTCCTATTGACATTGACAGAAGGTCAGCAATGTGTTAACTTCTACTCCCCAGCACATTTTAAGACTTCAGAAGATGCTTATTCTTATAAAGCTCTCCGTGTACCTTGCTTCCCTTGAATTCAGCAGAAGCTTTGTGATCTTGTAAAGCAACAACAGTTAATCCAGTGTTGAGAGCTTTTAAAACTCTTATCCGAGAAAACTAGCACTGATTTATACAAGACGTTAAAGCCTTTAGATCACACCACCAAAAAAAGGAAACTGTTTCCAGTGCAGTGTTGCCCAGTACTTGTGTTTATTGGGAAAGCTACCTGAACAGAAGCCAAAATAATCTCCTAAGAACTGGCTTTAAACCAGCAAATTATGAACAAAATAGTTCCAACTCAGAGTATTCTCAGATATTCATCTCTTCAACATTAATGCCAATCGTTATTTCCCTTTTCTAAATGCAGCCTCTTTGTTCCATGCAACAATAGAAAAACCCAAACCTATAGCTGTTCCACATCCTATACATCCATTATTTTTAATTACTAATGTGAAAAATGTAACAGTATTGGTATACAGCAGGCCAGGGTGCTCTTTCCTTGGTATTTCTCATATTGACTCATCATATGCGAGTCATTGTGTGTAGGTTCTTGGGTCCCTCCCCCACCTCCATAGTTTGATACTAGTTGTGTTTTAGTTTAATAAAATTTTAAGGCAGTTTATCTCAATAGTTCCTGCATGTGCAGCTTGTACTGTTGTTCTAGAGGCTACTTGGGGCAACCTATGGTTTCATGCTTCATTGTTTGTTTGCTGTTTCTAAGGAAAGGAGTATTATCTGTAAAATGAGTCTGAATGGGTCTTTTGTTCTTCTTTTTCCTTATGAAAATAATAGCAAAATAACCCTTCAAATTAATGTTTGGGTTTTATTTTTTAACCTGGCAATATTTTTGAAGTAGATACACTTTTCAGATTAACGATAAAAGCGGTAGGTTTGTGTTTATTTTCACTTGTCTTTGTATGTCTGTAAGAACAGCAGACTTTGTTATAACAGCAGGTTTGCTCTGTAGTGCTCGGTTCAGCTTTGTGTGTTGAACTAGTTTTGTACCTTTACCAGCATAATTCATTTAAAAGTGTTACACATTTGGTTTTCATGCTGTGAAAAAATGCTCTGTGCAATTACAATATTTGGGGCAGTTCAGAGAACTGTGTAAGAGTGGTTAATGCTCTATTTGGCAGTGCCTTTATATGTGTCTAGACAAATTCCTAGATAACAAATTCCCTGTGGGTAGATTATTTTAAAGCTTGTGGAAGAAAACACACTTCTGCTGAAAAGGTTAAAGGATGAGACAATTTTTTTTTTTGTCTTAGATGTATTTTAATACATACCAGTTCATACTGATAATGTGTAACTTTCTCTGAAGAGTTTTCAGTTTGTACTGTGGTTTATATTATAAAAGTTCATCATCAGTTCATTCCAGAAAGAGGATAATCCCTTCTGTTGAGAAACGGTATAGAAAAGAGTACTGAAAAGAGTGAGCATTTAGAAGGGGTAAACGTAGAGGAGAAATGGAGTTCTGTTGAAAACTTGAAGAAACTACTACATTGCATGCCAAAGAAGAAACAGAGAAACTGATAAGTTGATTTGGATGATAAAGCTAAAGGCTTAGAAGATATTGAGCCTTGCTGGGACTTTAAATACTAAGGTTTAAATAAAGTATGTTGTCACATGAAACATGGCTGGTGCTCCATGTGGAGAAGGGTCAAAGGTAGATAGATCAGAGCAGCATAAAATAACTGTAGTAATAGTGTTTGGGGTGCATTTGCAAATGAAATATTATAATAATTATAACATGGAAAAAAATGGTGAATTCATACAGATGTGTCCTGCGGTGTCAATCATTTATTCTCTAAGGAAATAGTGTAACCTCCAAAGGTTAATCTGTATTAACATGAGAGTGTTGTAAAGAAGCTGTGTACACTTGTGAACGGTTTCATTGATTTAGTAGAATAGCTTCCTGAAATGACGTATGGGCATAAGGCTTAAAAAAAAAATACATAGTTAGGTTATGTCCACTGCTTCCTTATATTCCTCAAGTATTATGTTGCCATGTGGTACTTGTTTATAAATTGCTAATAATATGGTTTGAGTGAGAAAAACAATAACATATCCCATTATCCAAAATGCAACTACATGGTAAACTAGCAGATAACACATCAGCTCTAGAACATTATAAATGAAAATAAGTGTATTTAATACAAAGCATATATATATATGGGTGTTCTAACAGTTTCTTTTGATATTGCAGGAAACAGCATACTCCATTCAGCAGCAGACAGTGTGACAAGTGCAGTACAGAAGGCAAGTCAGGCCTTGAATGAGCGTGGTGAAAGGCTAGGTCGAGCAGAAGAAAAGACAGAGGAGCTGAAAAACAGTGCTCAGCAGTTTGCAGAAACTGCACACAAGGTAAGATTTTGGCGGGATAAGGCTCTTGGTAGGTTAGAGAGACACATACCTTTATTTTGAGAGAAGGAAGTTCTAGAAAGAATTGCTGTCAGTCACTGTTTACAAACAGCTTGCTGTTTTCCTTGATACTGTTCCTCCCTTGGCAGATTTCTGGTTTATAACTACTTCTGTGCATAGATATGAGGTTTGCTGTATTTCCACTTGAATTGAAACTACCTATCTTCACCTTCCTGAATCAAATTTTAAATCCATCTTCCCACTACTGTTTGGTACTAGTCCTCATACTTCGTGCAGCAATATAGTGAAATTGTTGTTAATCCCCTTTGATAAGGAGTCATGGGTCTGTGACTTTCTCTTTCTGAAGACATATCTTTTTATGTCTGGAAATGTTATATTTATGAGGATTTTGAGGAATTGTTCTGTCTCAGGAATGTATGGACATTCCCCGTTCTTGGTGGAAGGTATTGATAGTACTGTGCCTGTTGCTTCTGCATGTGCATAATGGTGCTGAGCTTCCATCTCTGTGACAGAAATTCTAGGCATCCACAGCATTTGATTTGGTGGCTGCGTAACACATCCACAGCAGACAGAATGCTTTTCAAAAAAAAAGTAAAAGTTTTCTGAATGTGAGCAACCATTTTAGCATGCAAGTTTTCATAGTTTTGCTGCTTAGCACGTGCATTAGGCTTTATCATGCTTATGCCGAAAAATGCCTGGCTACTGCATTAACACTGGAAATCTTGGATTGATACCTTGCAGTTGTATGCAAGCCTCTGTCTTATTTAGCCTTTAAAATGTCACAAAACCACTTTTTTTTAATATTTACTGGGATAATCCTCTACTTGTGGTCCATTTAGATTAGCATGGTTCAGCTTAGTGGCCTGAGTATGGTATGAGCCTGCTTTTGGACTCTTTCATCTAACACCACCACCTCTTCCTACCACCACCAGTGATGATAACTATGCCAACTAAACCAACCTTAAACAGCAGCTACTGCTGCCTTTAGCATAAGGGGCAAAAGGTTTGCTGCTTTAGAGTAAAGCATAGAGTGCTGCTTGGTAGGGAGTTCAAAAATGAAGAATTTCTCTGATAGTTGGGCCGCTATAAATCTTGATTAAGATTTGAATAGGTTTCATTAGTGTGTGTTACCCCTTCATCTTCCACATGTGCAGAATAGCAGCTCCACAGATGAAGACATGCTGTGAACAGAAAAAAATCTTTTCAACAGATTCTATTAGGAAAATCTTATTTTAAAAATCTCAGGATTAAAGGATGCAGTATTGTAATAAAAATACCATCTTTCGTAGCCTGTGCTGTACCATATTTAGAAATAAAAGTTTACAAAATCCTGATGTAATAATTCACAACAAAAA